CGTGCGTGTGCGCGCGCGATTGTTCATATCATATATGCGACGCTAGTATATAATTGCTTATTATCACGAACCAAACACACCATATAATATGCTTTGCCTTTTCATTGTTTGCAATGCTGACAAATGCACACATACAAAAACATAACACGCACAAGTATTACTGTTTTAAAGAAAAACAGCTGACATGCTCGCGGCGTGCTCTATCTTCACCACCCTGACTTGAATTCTCTCCCGTTCATTAAAGACATACAAGTGCCTTCCACTATATTACTCTGCTATTGTGAACGTTTTCTGGGTTGTCCATATATAAATATGTTCATAAATATTAATAGCAAATAACTGCAGAGAATTGGCGACATTACATGGGCTATGGCATGCTAGATTCTCGGCACAACCATTAACGGTAGCAAGATAGAACGTGTCAACAACAGCAAATCTGTACCCGCCATGAAACAACATAGAACTCGTTTTAGCAATAGTTACGGTGCGTGTTAGTTACTTTATTAGTGAAAACCACGTCTTAGCAACATCTGGCTCTCATTGCGACGACATAATACAGAGTGAGAGTACGAGATATATATCATCATAAATCTCGTTGAATGCGTTTGACCGTTGCTCTAAAGCGTTTTAGTTTTTTGTTGTTATTATCATTCTGGGTGTACCGCTGAAACAATCATTTCAACAATATTTTTCATCAGAAAAGCCACATGGAGCACGTAAATATAATAGTTCCATTATTGTGATTACAGAGGCAAAAACATCAATGTTGCGTAGTAATCATGGTCTCGAGACTATAAATAAGAACCAAAATATTAATACTTGCATACGTGAAGACAGCGCCAGTACTGGCCGCATGGATAACGGACATATAGGCTTGTGGATATGATGCCAATTCACAATATGATCAACAAGATATATACCACACTAATAATAATAATAATAATAATAATAATAATGATAATAATAATAATAACAACAACAACAACAACAACAACAACAACAACAACAACAACAACAACAACATCAACAACAATAATAATAATAATCTTCATCATCACCAACACTAGCAATAACTACAATAACAATTCTGCACGAATAAAATTCATCAGACGTGGTGTAATGACACAACAACTACACCGACCATAACGACAACACCAATATCATCATCATCATCAGCAGCAGCAGCAGCATCGTCACCGTCACCGTCACCGCCACCACGACCAACAACAACAACAACAACAACAACAACAATAATAGAAGTAACAAAGGCAGGATGGTACAACGACACATCTGCACCACTAACACGCACCAGTACCATGAACAGTCACAGGCCAAGAATCTCAAGATATGCACTGAACAAATCAAAACAAATTAATAACGTTGGGTTGGGTGGACGTCAAGGTAGTCGGGTGGATGTAGAAGTGGAGAGGCAGCTTACATGTACACCTACTATTGATGTAACTGTCATTTCTGCGAATACGTTCTAACAAAACAAACATTAGGCTTGACCCTACGACATATGCGCTATTCCCAGCGTTTATTACGAGTCACGCTATATGGGAGTCCAGTCTAGGCCAGAGTAAAATAGTTTCTAAACACACCAATTATCGCCCTACGTATGAAACATTTCTGTGGGGACTCTATTTTCATGGTCTAACTATTTATAGACATAATATTTTATAGCGTAAAAACTTTTGCAGGATTATCATCATTTTAGAAATTTCACCGTTAGCGCGTATCCACACAGATGTCGTAAAGTGAAGCAATATCGCTCGAGTTTGTTACCCAGCTATACATATATATCATCGACGATATGACTGACGACTTCAATCACGTATGACTGCAAATACGATTCTTCTGCTTCGCCTGCGCTATTCTCCCGCAGCTAGAAGAGAATTTAATTCCGGTTTCCGGTCGGGCTCACTTCATTATTAACCAGGGAATGTCTCGATCATTTTCGACTCGCCTCGATTCTCGAAAGGGCCATGACTTGATGTCGGTCCTTGAGCGGCGCATGGCAGGCAGCTCGGATGATATTGCCTCGTTAACTACGTGGCTCGGTACGAATGCCTTCCTCCACAGCTGTCTAACCTCAGCGAGATGCGTGAAGCGACCCTCTACAGGAAGTTCCTGCGATCGCAGCGCACTCTATAGTTGCGATGCTCATTGCCCCGATTACATTCCCATGCATATGATGTCAGTATTATATCTCATATATCGTACACTGCCAGTTTAGTATCATGTCATATATCATTATGTAGATATAGTCAGCAGTGCGAACACATCAATATGAATAAAATTATATAGAATAATTCTTATTGCATCTCTACTAACTCTTCCATCTGCACTAAAAAATTTTTTAACTAAAAAAGAAAATATCCTGCGCTACATACCTATATATATTAATTTGTGCTATTATAAGCTAGAGGCATACGCAGAGTAGGCAAGAGAGCCGAAACTCGCACTGACATTACGTTTTCTAATTGCAGTTGTTTACCACAGATTGGAGAGTTAGTAGTGGTGCAATAAGGATTCATTATACATGATTTTGATATTTTGTCCGAGCTGTAAGCAATTTCTGCGAAAGAATACATTCGCGGCCTACGCTTTCAGACATCAATATTTTTCCGCTGTCGTTTTATAATGTCTGCCGCTTGTGCCACAACGAACGCGTGCGTCAAAGAAGGATAATAGCAAGACGACAGTGGACGACGGCGTGAACGGAGGCACAATACTGCTTTCGAGGCTCACCCCTTGTATAAATAAGCATAGAACTATGACGGCTATCAGTCCGCGATGCAAAAAGAAAGCAACGCGATATTTTCCAATTACTTGGTCGGGAGCACGCGCTCGACAAGAGTTGCTAAAGTGTCAGCCAGGAAAACCCGCTTCTTGAAATCGGGTCAGCTTGAATTGTCAGCAAACACATCACAGCCCGGTTCCTTGTCACCCTCACATATAACAGGAAATTGGCTTTCACTTTTTGCTGCCTTAGAAGTGGCGTCAACCGAATCATACGCCAGAACGGACGCGTGCACGCACGCACGCACGCACACCCACATGCTCACACATACACATTTGAACTTTAAATGGTTGCAAGTAAGAACTCTACAACTAGCCAGAAAAGGAAATTTCATGCGAAATCTATTGAGACGTATGCCCTTGACTATGTGCGCCGGTACTGTACCGATTACTGTGGGTATTGACTGGCGCTTTTTTTCCTACAAAATTTGCAGCAAACGGCTGATTCTATTGACTATTGCTTCTATACTACAGCTACAGTCGGCTATCAATTTCGCTAAAAGTCACAATCGCAAAAAAGGTCGTACACCTGCACGCATGGTCGGGGATGTGGCAGCACCAAGCATATAGACACGCAAATGTATCTGTCAACGTTTATTCATTACCTAAAGATAATTTTTCATCAACAGAAAAAAAATCTCGCTCGCCGAACATGTCACGCACGCACGCACGCACGCACGCGCGCAGACACGCACAGAGATATGCGCGTTGCTTCATGAATGATCATGCAGAGCTAGGACCGTACAGTTTCTCTCGACACGCACACGTTCAGTTCCAGGCGAGGGCACACCGCACCATATCCAACGGCAACCTTATGAAAGCCGATTGCATCTCCAAGTTCCGTCACAAGGCGGCTTTGCTCAGGGTGCAAGCCGATAGAAAAACCTTACCGGATTCTACCGATCACTTTCAGCGAAATCGCTTTCTTTTCACAGGCGCCCGTATATAGTAGCAATTACATTAGCCGGCGGTGTCAGTTATAGAGCACGCTGCCGACTATAGTACACACAGCGGCCGGCTGTCGTCGCAAATCATTCATCGACTGCTAGCGATGCGAATAGCTAAGTTGATTGCCGTCTCTTAATCAATGGCGCGCCGGCGACTATCATTCAAAGTAAGCAACGTCTATCATAACTGCCGCGGCGCACGGCAGCGAAACGAAAAGACGTCGAGACGAAATCAAATGCAGGCATAATTTTCAGCCCTGTATTTACCACTGCCCCCGACGCCAACGCGGAATTGTTCAAGTAACACGATTTTCAAGCGACATAAAAGACTTTCGGTTAATGCCGCACGGACAAATGCTTCGTATAATCAGGTTAGCGATAAAGTTTTAGCATAGTATCAGATAGTATATATATGAGGTAATGATACTGCGAAATGAAATGATCCCTGATCACTATAAAGACACACCGACCACGTTTTAACGGGATTGTAATGGAAGGATTTTCTGCCTTTTGTGAATTAGCAATGCACTGCTGTGCCTCAACAGATTTCAGTACGGAGATTTGCAGAGAGAATGTCGATATATAATGCAACTGCGTGCTGTTTCATACTAAAAAAACAGTGGCTGCAGAAGAGTTTGACACGCACGCACGCACGCACGCGCCTACGCCTGCGCCCACGCACACGCACACACACACACCCACACCCACACGATAGGTGCACTAATTAACACCCACTCCACTAATTCCTAATTAGAATTAATTATTTATTAATTCGTGTTCAATTACTTATTAATTACTTATTAATAATTGGTATTTGCAAAGATGAAATACAGAGCAGGGTAGGTAACAAGCTAATCGTAATTAACAAGGAATAAAAACGAAGCAGGAATGATCTAAGTGACATTTTTTCTACATTCAGATATGAAACAACGTCGAACAAAAGTACTAGAAACAACACAAATGCAAAGACAGAACACAAAACCAAATAGCATTAAAACTCAATCTGGATTTACATTACCTTGAGGAAATAAAACACATTACATGGTAAACAATTACTGAATTTTATTTCACATGCCAAAGTTTAATTGGCAGGGTGGGTAGTAACGCTGCAGCTCATTCGTTGGGGCAGTTAGTATGAGATAATATGAATATCGTGTGGTCCGATAAGTACTAGGTAGAACGTTAATGATTCACTTTCATCCAGAGATTCCGAACTTAGAAATCAAGGTTGATTAAATTAACTGCAATTACCTGACTTATCTGTAGTGTCCTGCTGCCTACGATGCTAAACTTGTCCATGGGCATGTAATCTAGGACTCCGTTCTGGTGGTCCTGGTAGCACTGAATGTTCAATGTTATGTCATCATGAAAGAACTCTAAAAGAAAAAGAAAACAAGGGTTTGTCGTGACAGTCAACACGTTATCTCGTTTACATAATGAAGCAGGAGATACATTTGCCCGCGAGGAGGAGGAGGAGCAGCTGTTTAGATGGGCGCACATTCTCGTTCGTTCTCTACTTAATCACCATGATCTCTCATCTATAGCTGATATGAGGGCGGCTCACAATGAAAGGAAGGAAAATATGAGGGGTCTATGCGTTCTTGGGGTTCAGTGCAAGTTAACTTCTTTGTTAATAGGTTTTTGCAGAACATTTCGATTACTCATTCAAACAAAAGTAAATACTGGTCCCCCCATGTTCATGAGGCCATATATGATATATATTATTTGCCACTAGGCACTATATATCTATATGATGTTCCTACGTCCATATTAAAGGAGAAAATAATAAATAACATTGTGCCTGGGATGTGACAGTGTGACAGTTGTAGAAGGGTACAGACAGGGGTACAGTATAACTCCACTCTGTAGTTAATATCAGCGAACATTCGCGTTAGATAACAGCATTAGGGCGGTAAGATAGGACTCGATTCCGAGTGCCACTTCTCGCAGTAGCGCTTATGGAGAAATCAGCAAGCGCCTGCACTGTTTGCTCTTGCAATTTTCCGAAGTATCACACCGAGTTCGCTCGGCAATCATGACAGGTTGCTAAGGAATCTGACAGCTAGCCTACAGGCTTTGCACGGTCACTGCATCGGGATCCCACCCGCGTCAACGGCGTACGTAACCGAATTGGAGGAAAAATGCGAAATGCGTCGCAAATCCGTGCGCCGTCTCGTCATTTATTTTTGAAGGGCTGCGCTTATAAGCGTGTACAGGCCGGCGTACGCTGCTGACGTGTGCGAGCGCGCGCTGTCATGTTACAGCTTCCGCACTGCACGTGAACGTAATTTGCTCGTAACGGAGCGTGTCGCCCCGTACTAACAAGCGTCGAGGCGAGCGTGAGCGAGCGAGCACTCCCCTCCCTCGAGAGATGCCGGCGAACATTTTTATTTCCTCGCCTAATAATATTTGAAATCACACTTGTAATTGTGCGCCCTCTGTTTACCGAACACGCGCAAGATAAATAGGCGAGAGAGGCGGCATCGGCGCGGGGCAGGGAATCAAGCAGACGGCATTCATGCGAGCTCTGAATGGCTTCCCCGGCGCGGTTCTCGCGCGCAGCACAAGAGGCGCGCGACGACGGCCAATGGAGACATGGCAAACAAGCTCCCGAAAAGCTCTCTCGTACTTAAATGCACATGCTGCGTTCTCATAAAGAACCGCAGTACTCGGCGGCGGCGGCGGCGACGACGACGACGCGCTGAAAAGCTCCGAAAATTCGCGGCGCACTGGGCATCAACATCGCTCGCCATCTTGACATTCAGAATTTCCCACAATTTGCTTCGCAAAATAGTCCCCACCGCCACCGGATGTTGCCCATCAAAAACGCATTTGGGATTCTCCACCGCGCAGGGGCAGTGACACTGAAAGTAATTGGGTCCTTGACATCAGACAAAGCCTGCGTCTCTCGGCGGCTTCTCTATAGGCGACCCGAACCCCTGCTAAGCTGGTTGGCAGTCTCGCAGCGACAGACGACGAGCGACCGATGAGGCCGCCACCCGCGCGACGACATCGTCGGCAGCGACAGCAGGCGTGCGCAGGTAACTAGATCTAGGGGACGCTACATCCGTATATACACACGCGCTAGCGAGCCGTCTTCTTCATCCCTTCCACAAATGCCGCCGCGCCTTATCATCCAAGGGACCGTTTCCGAGGAGAAATGCCAAGCGGGAATTGCCTCCGCGATTCTCGAAAGCAAACACAAAGCGACTAGCAGCGAGCGCCATTAGGGTCCATGAGAAAGTCAATTACAAGGTCTATCCGATGGCAGTTAGACTTCCGACAAAAGTGTGTAATCCTACAGTGATTCTTGCGAGATGCGGCGCCTATAGAGAAGAGGTTTCAGAACAGCCTTCTTAAGTACAGACGCGGAGCATAGATATGGGTTTAGGACAGCCTGATGAGAAACGGACACAAAACGCAACGTTATAGAATTGAGACGTGCTGCTTTACCGCATACGTAGAAAATATATTTGGCTTCAGAAAAAGTCTTGAATAGCAATTTATGGAGAGTAATAAGTGGTTAGACTAGTAAAGGCTGCTTAAGCATACAGACATAGAGCATAGATATCTGCACATGGTGATAATTCACAGACACAGAGTATAGGAATAGTTTTACCACAGGGTGCTTAAATATCGTTCGATCACACAACATTAACTAGCCACTACGCACGCTACAGCCAGCCTGAGGCATACTGAAACATTTATTAAACACGTAACGCGCGAGCCTTCGTTTCCAGTACTGATTGTTTAGTCCCACCCGCGATGTGCATTGCCCCTGAAAGCTTGACGGATGGCCGTTAACGTACAGAATTAAAAACTATAATTTTCCACAGATTAAGCACCTATTTCCAACCGCCTCCTGCTTGATACATAAACAATCCATTCTGAAGACATTCACGGAAATAGGAAACGTCAAACAAATTGAAATTGATAGAGAACGCTGCGTGCAGATGTATTCAGATGGAAAATCCTACAAGGAAGAATACAGCCAGCTGTAATCTGCGACTAATCAGCACAATTTATATGTAGTCCATCATAATCACCAGCTCTCTCTCTCTCTCTCTCTCTCTCTCTCTCTCTCTCTCTCTCTCTCTCTCTCTCTCTCTCTCTCTCTCTCTCTCTCTCTCCTATATCACGGCGCGAAGGAAAGCATCAACTCGAATTACGCGCTGATTGTGTAAATTATTCTCGCTATGGAATTCATGGAGACAAGGCAAATCAGGCACAAAAAATTCTATGGCTAGCCGCGGCTGCCATTGATTGCTGTAGCTGCGAGTATATGAAGCAGGAGTTTGTGAGACGATGGGGACGCGCTCACATTTATATATATATCATGAATAGCTAATAAACACCGGGGTGTTTATTAGCTCTTGATATCATCGTATATGCTTGGCGGCAAAATTCAACCAGGGTTAATTAAGACACGGCTACGGCCACTTCCACCGCACGTCTTATGATAATACGTGGAACAGCACGATCAACCACACACACACATGCACACACACACACACACACACACGCACACACACACACACGCACGCACGCACGCACACACGGACATGCACACACACACACACACACACACGCACACACACACACACGCACGCACGCACGCACGCCCGGACATGCACACACGCACGCACACATACAGACTTTTACACGCAAGCGGTGACCTTGAAGACAGGTAAAGCCATGTGAAGATCTGTGATACCACGTGATGGCGTGCTGTGCCGAGCAATGCATGAGATACACGACTGGCACGATTTTCTAGCTGATAGGCGAAGCTTAATCGAACATTGCACGCGCCAAATATTCGTTTTCTCAGATAACACGAAAAGGCAGGAATGACAAAAACGAACGGCATTTATATGAACGTATGTTAGGTTTCAGCTTTCCATAGAATAAAATATCACAAGAATGAAACGGCATAAATTCTCCTAAAATAAAAAGAATCTCGAAAGTTATCCGTGACTATAAATGATTGCAATAACTTATTGTACCGATAGACGGTGTAATGCCATTGCCAGTTTACCGTTCCATAAACAGCAGTGAAATCAAAAGAATAACTGAATGCTACTGGGATAATACCTACTGGGATAAATTTTAGCCTCAAAAGCGTATCTCCGGCACGGAATATAAGACATATGCCGTCAAATGCAATACCAACCCAGATTCGAGTTTAATTACAGCCCAGCGAAATGAACGTGAAAAATTATCTGTGAAACTGGAAAGTTGCATCACCGCTGTAAAATATTTTTGCTTGCAACACCGTGATCAATATAGAACTATGCTAAGACCGATGCCATTGCTTACTCTTCCTGCCATGAAATGAAAACAAAGGTCGAATAACTGAAATCTCTCTTCCTCTCTCTCTCTCTCTCTCTCTCTCTCTCTCTCTCTCTCTCTCTCTCTCTGTGCCTCTCTTTCTCTCCCCCCGCTTTCTCTCTTTATTTCTTTCTCTCTCGCGCTCTCGCTTTCTTTCTCTCTCTCTCTCTCTCTCTCTCTCTCTCTCTCTCTCTTTCTCACACTGTCTTCCTGCCTGTCTCCCCTCTTTCTCTCTTTCTTTCTTTCTCTCGCGCGCTTTCTTGCTCTCACATTCGCTCTCCATTCTCCCCCTTCCTCTATCTCTCTGCCCTCTCTTTTGCTCTACCCCCCCCCTCTCTCTCTCTCGCTCTCTCGCTGCTAAATTATTCATATGTAGGAAACCACGTGTGTATGTGTGCGCGAGTGTATGTGTGCGTGAGTGTATGTGTACATGCACCCGCGTGCGCGCGTGTGTGTCACTCATGATCGTAACCACAACACGTATAGAAGCGAAGCTATATCGAACTCAAATAAATCGTAATCCGCGTGTGATTTTTTCCGATTGATTGTTTACCATTGTACCCCCCCCCAATATAAAGCTGGCTACGGGCCTGGATACATACACAACTGTTAGGAGAAAATGTGTTGAAATTCCTACGATATTAGTGTCAAGTTCTTCATATAATCTATTCGCTATTCTTCGTCATATGATCTATATCACACCACCGTGTAGGTGTTCCAGTTACTAAGCTTTCGTTAATCTGTGTATTACCATTTAAGGAGTACTAATGAGATGTATATATATATAAATATATATATATATATATATATATACCTGATATATATATATATATATCAAGAGCGTATAAAGAAGGAGAGCGTACAACGGTGAAATGCTGAAACCATGTTGCAGTATTAGTTGAATTAATAAACTTTCGCCGTTTTATTTTTGCAGTATGATCAGCTGTCTTACCTTGTTAATATAAAACAAACCGCATGTCCCTACGATGCTCCTACGCCGAGATAATAAGCGGTGAAAATCTGGTATTTTCGCCAAAAACCGACTCGA